CAGACAGAGGGCAAGAGGGCACCTCCTGGGATGGGGGCACAAGCCTGTTGGGCTCTATATGCAGGAGTAGCTGAGTAGTCGAGTGCACGAGTCTCGATAAGGCTTGGCCCGCTGGGGGCCTTCCCGGTGACTTGACTGCTGTGCTTACAGGCCAGAGGTGAGGGCAGAGTCTAGGTCCTCCCCAAGCTGTCCTCCTGGCACTGGGCTCCTGGTGACAGCCTGGGGGGCTGGGGCCAGCCTGCTGCCAACTTGTTCTTCCCTGCAATCCCCTCCTGACAGCTGGAGGGACAGGCTGGCCAGGGCAGGACGAGCCACTGGGGAGAGTCAGGGGGCCGAGGGAGGCACAGGGCGGCTGAGGGTGCGGCCAGTAGGGTAAGGGCCAGATCCCAGGGTGGCCTAGTGTGGAGGAAGTGGGGAAGTGGGGTTCTGCCTATCCGCTCCAACCTCGGGGCAGGGGCCACCTCTGGAGAGAGGCCCCTCCTGCTCAGACCAGCAGTGCCTGGGTGCCAGGAGCGCCCCCTTCAACCATCTCAATGACCACGGAGCAGGTGCAGAAACTGAGGCCTGGAGAAGAGTGAGGGCCTGCCTCGCTGAGGCCCTGAGCCCTGACCACAGCCTGGTGCCCAGAGTAGACCCTTCCTCTGGCCATGGGTAGAGGGGAGCTGGTCCCTGCCTGAGGGGGAGGTGCATCACGTGTGGGTGAGGTTTCCCAGCTGCCCTCCAAAGTCCAGTGGGGAACTTCCCCAGCTGCCCCAGCCTCCCTTGGCCCAAGTTGTCCAGCTGAGTGGGCCTGGAGAGGTGGGGACACACTGACCGCCCAGGGCCAGGGAAATGGGGGTGTCCCAGGCATCAGGCCGACAGGGGCTGACCCCAAAGCAGGGCTCACACCCCACAGACAACGGGGCTGGGAGAGACCCTGCTGTCCTGGATTTTCAGGCTTGCCCTCCGAAGCCACCCAGCTCCCTTCAGCACCGTGCCCCTCCCACCCAACCCACCATTGCCACAGTGGCTCACTTGGCCTGAGGCTCCAATTGCCACCTGAACAGGGAAGCTGAGGGTCAGACCTGGGGGCTGGGACCCCAGGAATGTGACAGAGCACCCCCTGTGATCACCCACAGTGTCCCGCATCCCTCCCTGCACCCCCGGCCGCAGTCTGCTGCCAGCCTAGAGCACCCCTGTGAAGTGGGGCTGAGGGCATTGAGCCTGCTTGCCCATCTCCAGGGCAGGGGCTCACGGTCTCACTGGCAGCTCTCTTGGGGGAGACAGCTTGGACACCATGGCTGCCGCCTCCCATCACCCCCTCACCATGGCGGACCTTGGGCCTCAGGCACCCACAGAACAGGCTGTTCTCAGACCACTCAGCCTGTCTTGCCACCTCAGTCCCTTCCGGCCAGGCCTTGCCACTCGCCACCCCTCACTGGTCAAGGCTCCAGTGCAGCTGGTCCCTGCCTTAGCCTGGGGCCCCTCCAGGCTCCCACGCTGTGTCACACACATCTGGGGGTGTCCTGGGGGAGAGCCCAGACCCTGTGACCCAAAGATGCAGCAGCTGCCTTCTGTCCAGCCACATGCAAGCGTGACCTGTGGACCCACGGTCCCGGGAGG